GAACTACTTGAAGCAATTATGTCTTTTAATATGATTTGGAAAATGATATCTATAAGGAAATACTGAGGATTAAAAGATTATTGGAGATACAGAGCTGCCAACAGGTTTTATTCACCCACTGAGACACTTTTTCATTTAGAGGACAGCTAGATTATTATTCATATGACTATTCAGAAATGGCAGTTTTCACTTCAGTAATAAATATCAGCAGTATTTCACCTTATTCTCTTCTGTTTCCTTTTTGCTATAGAGTTTTCATGTTTTATTTGGAATCGTATTAGTATGTGTGTAGACAGAGAATCTGAGACAGAAAAGAGAGATAAAGAGACACAGACAAGGAGAGAGCAAGACTGAAAATGGAAAGAGGTATTCCTCATACTCTACACATAAATCAGAGCAACACTTGAAGCTGTTCTCTCCAGTGTTATGTCTTTGATTTCTCTGGCATTAGAGCTTCGTGATCTGTTGCTTACCAACCGTTAAGCAGGTGCACAGAACCATACTCTTGGCTGAATCACTGCAGTAGAGTTGTGATGTACCACCCAGATCCCTTGCCCTTCCTAGACTGAAGCATCTTTCCCTGGCTTCTGGAGGTGCTGACAGCTGAGAGCTCACAGCCGGGTCCCTCCTTTTACAGACTGTCTCCAGCCTTCAGCTAAAGATAGCTGCCTCACCCATGGCTGTGTCATTTGCCCCAGGAGAGCAAACATACTACAAAAGCCCTTGCCCCAGCTCAGAATGGCGTGTAGGACCTGAAGGGTCTGCCAAGGCTTTGTTGTGACTGTACCACTGCCCATCCTCTCCACTGCCTTATCTTGCTTTGCACACTCCCCTGCAAGTGTGGAGCCCGTGAACCCTCACCAATAAAATTCCTGCACAAAAATCCTTATCTCAAAGTCTGGTTCCAGGCAGTCATGGTCTGCAGCAGTCACCATCCATGCACCATGCAGTGCACATGTGTATGAGTATGTGATTATGTATCTTTGTAGTATGCTAGAATCATAATCAGGATCTATGACAATGTAGCCCTGGCCCTTCCTGTAACAATGGGGTTAGTAATATATACCTCTCAGAGTCATTGATAGCAAAAGTATTCAATGCCTGGCACACTGAAAATATTCATTACATTATTGCTGTTATTATAGTTACCAGTAATTGCCTATAAATACTCCATAAATACTGCATTAGTTCTAGCCAATTGGTCATAATACACAATACATTGTAATGTTATTTTTATTATAATATTTACTTTAGTAGAGTATGGAGGTTAATAAAGGATGCATCAGCTGCAATTTTAAGTCTTTCTTCTATACTTTTCATTGATTTTAATAAAGTAAGTAAGGCTGACTCCCAAAGGGAACCTAAGATGATTGAAGGAATGAAAAGGAAGTCCTAGGAGAACTTAAAAGACCTGAAACAGTTTAAAGAAACTGAGGCACAACTTGCCTCCTATCTTTTTGGGAGGAGGATATTGAACATTTTGCTCAAAGAGGATAGAATAGGAGGAAATCTGTGTCAAAGGGACTTTTCTGCTCTTGAAAAGAAGATGCTGGAAGGAACTTGTGGAATATACATTTCTAAAAGTCTCTGGAAGGAAGGAAGGAAGTATGGAAGGAAGTATGGAAGGAAGGAAGGAAGAAAGGAAATAAAGAAGAAGAAAGGATGGAGGGAGGGGAAAGAAGGAAATCCTTCAGTCCTGGGTGAGGTGCTTCCCAGAGAATCTGATGAGAACTCTAAACTCCATTATTTCAGAAATGATTCTTCATAAAACTCAAAAATATTTTCTGAAAATTCTATTGCCCACATTCATTTCCTCTATAACTCAGTTTCTTATAGTATCTTTGTGTCTCAATATACCTTGCACATATTTTCCTGAAAATCTCACTTTATGTGCAGTTAAAAATTTCACAATGTTATAGTTTTCATTTTTACTGTTACCTGTCTATTTATATTCTGCATAAAAATAAAGTGTGCCACCTTGAACCACTTGTTTATAGCCAATGGAAGCTCTTTCTTGACTTAGATATAACAGCATTGCTAAAATACTGAGGAGCATTACTCTGAAGGGCTCTGGAATGACAGTACGAACTCTGGAATTTTGGAGAATGAATTACTTTTCAATCAGTTAATTAGAGATAAGATTCAAGAGTGGATGTAGAACTAGGTTTTTAGACTAAACACTCTTTTAGACATTAGTATGAGAAGATAAGAGGAAGCCAGGGAGAAGTTGCTAAATTGCTAATAGGCATATTACATTTTGGATTTTCTCTTTGGCGTGTCTTGTCAAGTAGTAGCAAGCAGAGATAGCATGAGGTAGACAAAAGCGCACCACTGTACTGGAAGCTGGTGCCTGGCTCTGGTCCCGTTGTAGCAGGGAATACAAGTGCTTCAGTCATCCCAGGAAGTATGTTTGCAGTGTAATATATGTCATGGCACAGGAAGGTAAAGGTATTTTGAAATTAATTTTGGCATCTTGGTGATTTGTCCCTCATATCTCCTTAAGTAGCAACACACTGGAGCGCAAAGCACTTGCTTCAGAGCCGGTGATACAGGTTTTAAGGCTGGTTCTGTCTCCCACTTGAGGTCCTTCTTTGAGTTGTTTACCCTGTATGTTTTTTTTTTTTTTTTTTTTTTCTTTCTTTCTTTCTTTCTTTTTTTTTTTTTTTTTTTTTTTTTTTTTTTTTTGGTACCGGGAATCAAACTCAGAACCTTGTGCTTGCCAGGCAGGCGCTTGTGCCACTGAGCTGTATCCCTGGCCCCTGTATGTTTTTAATGACGCTGCAGTTCTTTGTCCTTTGTGCCTCACAATGGCTTGTGGCTTAATTTCAGCCTCGCAGTTGCTTAGGGAAAACAGATATGGGTTAAATAAGAAAACTGGGCCTTGGGGTTATGCCCCAACTCCTAATGTGGTAAACCAACAGCCACCAATTCAAATCACCTGATCTAATTACATGAGCATTCAACACCCACCTTCCTTCCACCCAGTCGCCACCCACAGCCCGGGCATCACTGAGTTTGTTCACTTGCAGAATCTCAGGACCCCCAGACCTCCTGAATCAGACTATGCATTTTAACAAGAAGGTCTGGGGTTCATTTGTACTTTAAAGTTGGGGAAGTGCTGTAATCTCTGAGGTACAAACATGAGACATTTTACATTTGTACACCTACCATGTCTTCAGATCTCTTCTGTCAAATCTCTTCCTTTGATGAGTAGATCTGACAGCTTTTTAGCTACTTTCAGATTTTTAAAAGTTGAAATACAGTCTAGTCAGTTTTCAAAACTTTAAACTCATGTGGAAATAAAAGCCTTCTTTCCCTTCAGCCCACCTTACACCCTTGAACAATTTCTTTCATTTTTGTCTGTTCATTGACTTGTTCTTAAATCAAATGTACCATTTCCAGCTCCCTATTTGAGATAGCATAGCATTGTGGTAGTTATTCTTTGGAAGGCGTTCATTTGCCTCAAACATCAGGGAAACTCAGAAGTAAACACCAAGGACACATATCCCACATAAAATAATGAAGGAATCTATCTTCTCATTCATTATATTTCACCAGATTATTGAACCAAGGGTGATATATGATCATCTTTGATATAAACAAAGCTGGTGAAGTATGAGACTGAACTGTACTAAAAAGAAATATTTGTAAAGCTCTTGTTTTTGATTTTTATTTAAATTTTGGAATCTTCTTTGACTAAGAAACCAAGAGTTAGGTTTATTCCTCAGTAGCCAAATGTCCTTGGAACTCCTTTCAAATGCGTGGGGCTGTTCTCAGTGTTCTGGGGTTTGTGTATCCCTGAGTCCATGAAATATACCACATCAAACATCTGACTCTTTGTCTTCATCCCTGAGGTGAAATTTTCATTTGAGCTCTCCCTCTGCTTCCTCTATGTCTTGTTTGTTTTCACTTTTAATGTGACAAGAAAAGGCAGCTTTTGTCTTTATTTCTGGTTAGCCAGCTTCATGAATATGAAGTTTCCTTTTTCAGCTACTATTCTGTAATTTGTTTTAAAATGAAATCTGAAGTGAAAAATAACTCCCAGTTCTCACTTTAATATATTTGGATTATTAATCTTTGTTTTGTATCCTGAGCCAGACAAGGCTATTTTCCTAGGCTTCATCACCCTGAGAAGGCACAGGCTGTGCGTGCATGTGTGTGTGTGTGTGTGTGTGTGTGTGTGTGTGTGTGCATGTGTGGTATAAGTGACTTAACTAGGTATAGGATAGCAGTGGAAGGCACATTTCCAAAGCATCTTCAGGGACATGGTGCTAGGCACTACATCCATGTCTTACTTTATCTTCACATCAACTGCGAGGCAAGTTGAATCGTGTCTATTTTCCAAACTGAGAGCCAAAACTTGGGGAAAGTTAGTGATTTACTCTAATTCACAAGCTAGTGAATGAAGGAAGGGGAGCAGGTGATGAGATGGCATTGGAAAGCGGGTGTTCCACCACCCTCTTCTGGTTGTCATTCAGAAATTGACATTGGGTACGCTGGAGGTAATTGTTTTTACAGAGTTAATATACTTTATTTTGATATATTAAGTTGTAAGAAAAATGTTAATAAAGCTTTAGTCTGCCATTCCTGCTTTATTTAAGCTGGAGGCTCAGCACTGGTCAAGTGCTGCCATGCCAGGGGACTGACTGATTCACTGTCCCTGCAGATTACTCTTCCAGGTGGTACTGTCATCACTGAATAGTACTACTAACTCTACCATGATCTGCTTCTAAGTACCCCTCTCCTTTTCCAAAACAGCTCTGCTTTTAGAAAGGTACTTCTTTTTAGCTGCACTCTATACCCTGCGGGTTCAGCACCACTCAGTTGGCAGCCTCCCTCCTCCCCTTCTGGGCTGTGGATGCTTCCAGCAGGAACCTCACACTTCTGTCTGAGGACTGCTTTTCTAAACGTGCTAGTCAGACTTGCAGCTGATTTCTCTGTATTGTGAATTTGTTTCTTTATTGTTGCCTAAAATTCCCTCTGTATCTCTCCTCATCTAGCTTGGTGGCTGTAGACAGCAGATTCCGGCTGCTTCTGTTGCTTTTGATAGCAGAGGGGTTGTCCTGAAGCAGCAGCCAGAAGTAAGTCTTTGCCAGCCTCTTACAAGTTTTGCTGAAATTTAAAGCACTATTTGCCTTTGTATAGAAAGCAAAAGGCCCTTTTTTGGAACTGGCAACACACATAGTTGTCTTTTATCTTTCAGGCAAGATGTAATTAGATTTCCTCTGCAATTTACCAAGTGATTAGAATGTGCAAAAGAAAAGAAAGCTAAGTGCAAGAGTATTTTTAAGTAGTATTGATTTTTTTCCCCGAGTATTAAAGTAATATATGTTCATTGCAAACAATTTGGAAAATGAAGAAAAATGTGATGAGAATTAAAATAACACAGGCAAAATGATTATTAGTTTTTTTTTCTCATTACACTGAAACACACACATAGATATACACACATTTATCTTTTTGCAAAAAGTTTGATAACAGTCCTTAGAGTACTCATTTCAAACATTTTTTTCCCTTTTAAATTCTTTCTTTTATTTTTAAAATGGAATATTATATATGTACAAAAAGGAGGAAGAGTAATCTTGTACTCAGGAGAATTTACTGTGGAAACGGATTCTGATCTTGGATCAACAATTTACTAACCTGGAACCTAGAGCAAATTACTTAATCTTTCAGTGCCTAAGTTCCCTATGTACAAAATGCAATAAAATTATTATAATTCATAGAGTTATTGCTAGAATTAAATAGTATGGCATTAGAGATTATGTTTAAAATGAATGTAGCATATATGTAAGGTAGAAAAGGTAAAAACAAACACACACAACATAGGAAATACAACTATTTTTGTTTCCTTTTATTCCTTGATCATACCCTGTCTGTTTCTCCAGCTTCTCTTAAAGTGACATTTAATTTTATATATTTTGAACTTCACATAATTAATGTCATACTGATTTTTACTTAATACTATGTTTGTCAAATGTATTCAAGGTGGGTTTTTCATTGCTAACAGCATTCTGTTCAGGTATATATCATCATTTTGTATCCCTTTCATTGTTTTTTTAAATGTTTGAATGATTACAGGAGGTGCTAGTATGAACATTCTTGTACCTATCTTGTTGCACATGTCAGAGTTTGTCATGCTGTTCTTTTCTAAAGGCGTCTTCATTGCTGGGTGGTAGTGTGAGTGCGTTATCAACTTTACTGGAAAATGGTTAATTATTTTTCAGAATGATTTTGCTGGTGTACATATACTTAACTCAAGATGAGAAGTCTGTAGGTAATTTAATTTTTGCTTTTCTAGACAAGTATGTCATTTCTTTTGCATTGCACTGAGGTATTCTCTTAAATTTAGATGTATGTAGTTTTAATATGTCTAGGTTTGTAGTTACTTTTATACATCTTTCTTGGTATATTTTTGTAGTTCCTACATCAACAAATTCATGTTTTTCATTAATTCTAGAAAAATATTAGCCATCACTTTTTTTGCACATTGCTTCATTCCATCTTTTTGCCTCTCCTCAGTTCTAACTGGACTTGTTTTATTTTCTATGACTTAGCCTATTTTTATGTTTTCCTTCTGTTTATACTATAATATACATAGTTTCTTTAGTTCTGATTTTATAAGTAGTTTACCTGTATCCACAGGATGTTTACCTCATATATTGAGTAGTTAAAATTTATTTTGCAAAGTTAAACAATTTTACTTTCATTTTTAGAAATTTTATTTTTTATTCTTTAAATGTGATTGATCACTTTTATAATATTCCTTGTAATTTAAAAAAATTGTAGTAAAATACATATAAAATAAAGTTTGCCATCTTAAAGCTATTTTAAGTATGTGAGGTATGACAAATATATGGTAAAGATTTAAATTTTTAAAAAATATTACAATAAAGGATACATATCCATTAATTCCCCTTAAAATATCCCCCTCCCTTCACTTATCCCTCATACTTGCCACTTTCTGAAGCAGTTCTGGAAGTCTTCTTTCATGTCTGGAGTTGAGCTATTGTAGCCGCTTCAATGTCCTGCACTGATTTGGAATGTTTACCTTGGGTCATTTTGATTTTGGGGAAGAGCCAGAAATTGCACAGTACCAGCTCCAGTGAATAAGGTGGATGAAGATGTGCTGCACTGTTTTTATGACCCTGCTTTTCCATTGTGTGGTACTTGGCTGCAGCATTCACTGTAGTTTTCTTTTTAATCACACTGTGTAAACACACTCACGAAACAGGTCTTCTTGAGCTGCTTTGAATGTGGCAAGAATGATGATATATCTGTGTTCAAAGTGAGGGAGAGTATTTTGAGGGAGTGATGGGAATGTCTTTTACTGTAATACATTTTTAAACATTTAAACATTCACTATGTATTTTGATCACGCCTCACAGAGTTCAGCAGTGTTTAGGTCCATCTGCATCCTTGTGCAGCCAACCTCCAAAACTCTGTACCTTGCAAAACTGAAGTGTTATATTCGTGTAACTCCCCCCTTCTTTGAGCACCTGTCACAGTTCTATGTTCAGTCCTTGCAAATTTGACTGCTCTGGTACCTCTTACCAGTGGAAGGAAGCAGTGTTTGTCTTTTTGTGACTGGCTGTTTACATTTAGCATAATCAAGGCCTAGCTCTCCTGTAGCTTGTGCCAGAATTTCTTTCCTGTATACAGCTGAGTATTCCATTGTTTGTTCCTTTGTGATTTTTATTACCATATTTATGATTTTAACCACTTCAGAGATAATGATTTTGGATTCCTATCTGATGATTTTAACATCTGAAGTTTCTGAGCATCTGGATCTGTTGTATTCTGTTGTTTTTCCTTCATGGTACTGTATTCACTTATGTGTTTGGAAATTTTATTTATGAGATTGTGATGGACTGACCTTAGTATCTGGGGGTCCTGAGACCTACCTCAAGGAGGATTTTAGTTTGCTCAGTAAGAAGCAATTACCAGTTTTGGGATCTGTTAGCTTTTCAGAATGTCAGAATTTTAGGTGCAGCACCTCATGTAGATCCTCAGGCTATTGTCAGCATTTTCCCCGAAGGAAATTCAGGCTTTCATGTTTGCTGGTTTTAGCTTTCTCCCCCCACCCACCTCCCTCCTTTCCCCATTTTCTTTTGTAGTATCCCTTCCTTCTATTTTCTATTCCTCCATCTTCTTTCATCCCTCCTTTTTTACATTTTCTCCTTCTTGTCCACCACACTGCCTTGTCTGGCTATTGGAGATTTTGTCTTTGTCTTTGGAATTCTGAAATTCCTTATGTCTATTTCATCTGTTCTGAAAAACTCAGGCATTATTTCTTCACATGTTGTTACTCCCTCATCTTCACTATTAGCTCTTCTAGAGTTCCTATACATATGGAGTTCCTTTATTTCTAATCCTTTATGACTCAACCTTTTTTGTTTTTAAATAGATTCTCCATCAAATTGTGCTTGACAGCAGCATTTGAAGGATCTTTTTTGTTTGTTCTTTTTTTGGCGGGGGGGGGCAGGTACTGGGGATCGAACTCAGGACCTTGTGCTTGCCAGGCAGGCACTTGTGCCACTGAGCTATATCCCGAGCCCCTTGTTTTTTGTTTTTTGTTTTTTTGTTTGTTTGTTGTGTTTTGTTTTTTTTTTTTTGACACAGAATCTTGTTATGTAGTTTAGGCTGGCCTTGACTCACTGTGTCGTCCAAGCTGGCATCAAACTCATGACAATCCTGCCTCAGCCTCCCAACTGCTGGGATTACAGGCGTGTGTCACCATGCCCAGCTGGAGGGGGGTGGCGCTCCTTTTTGCAGTCTGGTAATTCCTTCAGCTTTGGATTCTAATTTGCTAATTTACTTTTTACCTTTGTTTTACCTCAGCTAAATTGACTTGTTAAGTACATTTTTTAGCCGGGTGTGGTGGTGCATGCCTGTAATTCCTGCACTTGGGAGGCTGAGGCAGGAGGATTGCTGTGAGTTCGAGACCAGCCTGGACTACAAAGTGAGCTCAAGGCCAGTCTGAACTGCAGAGCGAGACCCTGTCTCAAAAAGAGAGAAAAAGAAGTATATTTTTTATTGGAATTGTATTATTGCTTTCAGAAAGTTCTGTTTGGTTATTTTTCAAATCTACTTCCTTTCTTTATAGTTACATATTTTTGGCTTCTGTATTTAATTCCTCAGTGGTCTTTTTTAATAGCAGATAATTTCTGTTTTGAGTCCAGTAATTCTGATGTATGTAGTCTTAGCAGGCCTGTGCAGTGTGTTCTGCTGACTCTCATTCATGGTGTCTGGCTTGTTTGTGTAATGTGTATTTTTAAAAAATTATGAGATATTACTTTTTGGAACTTTACCTGTGGGAATTCTGTAAGGTCTGGTTGGAGAGCTTAGTCCTCCATAGAGGATTTAAATTTGTTTGTAAGGAAAAAAGTATTGCTTTAAATTATTTTGTTGGCTTTGGATTTTGGGGAAGGTGAGGAGAGAAGAGTCATGCAGAGTAAATAGAGAGCTGCAGACCAGAAGTGCAACAGGACTTCTGATCACATTATCCAGGAGCTGTTTTTATCCTCTGTTCCATTTCAAAGTCAAGAGAAACAGTTACACTGCCCTTCCTTTGTGGGATGCACTTGCTTCCTACCTTAGCAAGGACATAGCCCTGGGGGATCCATGCTTCATGGAGCTGCCCTATCCCAATTTGTCTCTGGGTGGATGTCTAAGACCTTTTCTCCCATTACCTCTTCCCCATACCCACCTTACCAGAGGTTATTAAAATCAAAAGCCCTAGGTTGTTAGCAATGAAAAAATATCTTAAGGTAACTACTGATTTCACTTCCAGCTTCACTTTTTTGGGGGTCAGTTTTTCCTTTACTGTTGTCTTCTGGCATTTCCCTTTTGATTGCTTATAGCTCAGTTGTTTTTTATAAGAATGTCTTTTATCTGTTGTCTAGAGTCTTTAGGTGTTTAGTTGGGGTTTAGAGTATGTTGTCTGTTATATTGATGGGAAGGGTAATTCTGAGCATTTGAAATGCTGCCAGTTCTCAACAATATCAGAAAGAGTATTGCTGTGGTGTTCGTATGTAATGAGAGAGGAGATCCTGTCCTGGGGGGACTGACCAGCATTAGT